GCTTCCGGCTCCGATGAGACGCTCGAAACGCTGGACAAGCCAGACGATTCCGTTGACGCGAGACTGTGTGCGACCTCCGAAGAGCTCGACCGCTCGAGCGTCGGGGCTACCGGCACTGTCGGCGCAATAACCCGCCCTCCAGACCTGCGCAACCCTCCTAACTCGAGGTGCGTGGCTTCCTCCATGTGCTCGGGTGAGAATCGAGGAGGAGCTGGGGGTCTAAAAGCTTCGAGATCAACCGCGGGCTGAGATCCAATCGGTAACTCACCGAGACCTGAATACACCGTGGTGTTATTTGCTGATGGGGTGTCCTTCGGGCTGGAGCCCAAGGCCGCACCAAGCTCGGCCGCTTCCTCCAGGAGTGTGCGCCTGTTGGGAGTCCGAGGTGAGCTGGCTACAGCTGCATACGTACGCGTTCTGGTTGTAACCATTTCCGGAAGTTGATAAGTTCGTCGACGAGAAGTGCACCGGTGACTACGCGCGCTATGACAACAAACGAGTGATCAGTCCGTCTGCGTTAAACACGAATAGAAATAGAAAAAACGACTCAAAAAAATGTGAGGTCGCTGATTAGATAAGCGACACCACGGAAAGTCTTCAACGTTCGAGTCTCTCACAGGGATGAGTAGCAAGAGATTCGTGTTCGAAAAAGACTTAGGTATGAGGTACATGGGCTGGGCTTTTATACTACGAGATTACATGTACCGAATAGAAGAGATAGAGACAGAAAATAGAAGAATACGAGAAGAGACGAAATGAATGCGAAGAGGATTAACTCGAAGGCTCCGAAGGAGCCGTATAGCTTAGAGTCCGAATATAGTAGCGAGTAGCCGAATAAGGAATCTACTGGCCGAATACGGTAGCGAGCGCGGGTGCGTATCCTTACAACACGTTCGCGAACGCGTTCGGCGGGCGAACCTCCCAGTCGCCTGGACGTTCTCCTCGCGTCCTACCTACCAGGCCGCCACATTCATCACGAGCCCAGTAACAGTCCTGGTCTCTCTGTCCCCATCACTTTCCTTCGCGCGTACCTTTGAGACGAGCGTTAGTGAAAATACTGATAAATTTCCAAGAAGCGGTCGCAAGGATATATCACGCGTCCACGATCAGTGGCCCGTCCTCACGACGAGAAACGTGGCAGAACAAAGGCGCTTCTACATCGGTTGATCGATAAGCGGGAACAACCGTTAAGCCACTTACCGAACATATATAAGGTGAATAATGTTCCTATGCGATCCAATCTTTCCTACCACTATGTCGTCTCATACAGTGGGCTCCTCGCCGGGCAAACATTCTCTTACAGGCTCGCGTCAGCACTCTGCCGCTGTACCTGACGCCAAAACAAAGCGTAAAAACCACGTCTACGACATGAGCGGAAAATTTGCTGGGCCTATGCCGGCCGACACCTTCCTGAAGACATTTTTACCACTTCCTCGATCGACCCTCAAAACCCGAAAAGCTGCAACGGTGCGTTCGCTAAGATGAAATATCATACAACAGAAAAACAAATGTACGATGCATTTGTAAGCACCCGATGCTGTTTTGCATTATCGATGTATTGACTTGCTTGGCATTCTAGCGTGAATGCTCTGAGAAGATCCTCCCGCCTGAGTACAAATGGGTTAACACTGCAACCACCATGGATGAAAAAGAAGGGGGGAAGAGGAGATCTCAGCTGGTGGACATGGGCCTATATCATTCTGACCACGTCCCGTATTCTGAGCAGAATGGCTCTCCGCCCAAACCGCGATGGGATCGTGTGATGCTCTGCGCCGAGTTCAAGTCGCACGCTAACACCAACACAATGGATCCTTTTGAGGACGATCCAACGAAGTGGTCTGAAGCAGTATCGCAGCCGCGCCAGGACATGCGGGGTCAGATCGTAGGCTATGCCGCCCAGATGCTGGCTCAGCAGCACCGCACACATGTCTTTACTCTCATTGTCCTTGGCGCATGGGCACGGTTCATTCGATGGGATCATTCCGGGGCAGTATTTTTGGAGAGAATCCGTTACGCACAGTGTTCCCAGCAAATCTCCGAGTTCCTCTGGAGGTTTGTGAAGTCCAGTCGTCAGCAGCAAGGATACGACGAAACCATCAAGGAGATTGTGAAGGACTCCACCGAGTACAATCTTCTGCTTGCTGCTCGGGACGCCAATGAGGAGCAGTAAAAGCTTGACTACTTCAAAGAGGATACCGATGGGGACTGGCCATGGTACAAGCTGCGCGTGGATGCCGAAGTACAGCCCCCTCCCTCCGGGACCCCTCCCACCAGAGCATCTTCCGCCATCGCACCAAGGTCGACGCTGGACGAGATTGCTGCCGTAAAGACAGAGCCTCGTTATTTCCTGGTTGGCAAGTCTCGCACGGACCCTCCTGGCTTAGCTGGCTGGGCAACGCGAGGCTACGTTGCTTGGGACGTCACCGGCGGAAGGCTTGTATTTTTGAAGCATTGCTGGCAAGTGCCAACGCTGACGAAGGAGGGGGATACCTTGCTGAAGCTGAAAGGTGTTGATGTCCCATTCGTGCTGACGTTGGTCTGCCATGGTGACGTCGAGAGCCAGACCACAGTAACTCCGGGATGCTGGGACAAAGAACGAGACGGAGAAGAGAGCACGATGAAGCCACACACGCACTATCGCCTCGTAGTGGAGGAGATCGGTTGTCCCCTCGATGACTTCAGTAACTCGAGGGAGTTGGTGCAAGTGATACATGAATGTATCTGTGGTGAGTGTGCTATGTTACATCAAATTCAAAGGCATCTATTCACTCTCCCCATTTAGCGCATTGTGTCGCCTTCAATGATGCACATATTCTGCACCGAGATATTAGTGTTGGTAATATTCTCATCATACGAAAAACCAAAGACAGGGTTGTCCTTGGCCAAGGTCTCCTAAATGATTGGGACCTGTCTAAGGACACTGAGATAAAGTCTCCAAGGCAGCGAGATCGGACTGTGCGTACACTGTCCTTCCCGATCTTCCAGTAGTAGGGACTAATAAACTATATCATACTCAGGGCACATGGCAGTTCATGTCCAGGTGATTGCTTGCCCATCCTTCCAAGTTCCACGAAGTGCAGGATGATTTCGAATCATTTCTCCATGTCCTGCTGTGGGAAGCAGTGCGTTACTTGCCACACAAAGGATGCCCCTCTGTGGGTGCATTTATGACAACATTCTTCGATGAAGCCTACAACCCGGGCGATGGCGTTCGAGGTGGACTGCGCAAGATGAACACTTTCGTCGCCGGCAAGCTGGAACTCACGTTCACACATCCCACACTTCAGCATATCATTGACACACTCTTTGGATGGTTTGAAGGATACTACTGCATGCGTGAAGACCTTCTGGAGACTCCTACCGCTGTTGGGACGTCAACATCTCAGCACAGAGACAAACCGCAGAAGCAAGTATTTAAGCTCCCGACGCGATTGCGGTCGGATAAAGATCCAAAAGTTGTTGAGAAAGCAAAGAAGCACGAAGCCCATGTGGAAGTTGCCAGCAAATTCGACAATCATCAGCAAATGGTGCGGGTCTTTGAAAAGCAACTGGAGGACGAGCAGTGGCCTGATAACGACAAGACACCGGATCAGAAAGTGCAATCCTCCCTACAAAGTTAAGGACGCGAGTCGCTATAAATGGAAGGTCGAGACACTGTGCGGTAACCCCGCAGCGTCGCGAAGGACTTCGTCTGAAGTTGGGGTGACTCGCTTCGGAATATGGGAATCCTAAGGCGGTGAGGAGGTTGTGTACTCACTGCAATTCATTCGTACACCGGTAACACCACCTCCCATGATCATGAGAAGTTGAATGGTTTTGTATATCAGTATACATGTAGTTTTAATTTTTTGAAACTAAACCCCAAAGTATAATACCAAGTGAAGGCTTTGTGTATAGATTGGCCCTTGTCCGGACTCAAACTGCCACAATGTCATCAATATCGGTGCCTTGCAATGACTGCATGATGAGACAGAGAACAAAAGAAAATTTCCAAGTTGCGTTACGGAGTGAAGACAACTAGAATCATCAAGTGAAAAATATCATCCATGGGTGGGATTGAACCTCGAGCTCACATCATTGCATCTGAAATAACCCATCACACTAACCGCTGCACTAACAGCACACTAGCAATATTGAAAAATAAGATAATATGTTAGTCGGGCAACCGTTGATAAGCCCCAGCGATCTTCTGACCCCCGAAATTGCGAATTTGACACACCATACATCCCCTCCAAAGTTTATTCGACACCACCTGTCGAACCTCTTACGCGACAAGTAACCGACGAAGGGTTCTGGATTTAATTCTGGACCTTCTAACGTCCTCAAGGCAGGCGCAGATCACCAAAATGATTTAGCTCCGCAGCCAGACGCTCCGAAGTCACCCGGAAGAATACCTTTGTGACTAATTATCTCCGGGAACGGCGGAGGCCCGCGTCGCAGTGAGTCATTGGTATTACCACTCCCCAGTCATCACTCCCCTTTGTTTCCGTCAAAGCGACCGAGTCAGCGGACGTAAATCGCCGGCCGGACGGAACGTATCAGTCAGCAAGCGGCCGGAGCTAATCCGCACGTGATCAGCCTGCAGTACCGCGTGATGAGGCACTTCAAGCGAGCATTGACGCGTCGAGGCTACCTATAGGACCTAGGACGAGCACGTGGAAACACGGCAGGATCGTATGGGACATGGTATAGCGGTGGGCAAAGGCTGAGTAATTGTGTGGGATGCGGTGCATATTTGTTATTTAACTCCGGGCGGACGCAAAACCATTCCAATAGCATAAAAATGTATGGAGCATAGTGGAAAATCCAAGTTTTGTACTTCACCCTCTCAGCGTACCAGAATTATCGTCTCAGCGACCCTCGG